GCCGCGGGGATATGTCCGGAAGGGGTCGGAAAATTTGGGTGGTGGCCCCCCCCCCCTCCCCAACTGCGGGTCGCGATCAGAGGCCGTCTCTCCGACCCCGGAGGTGGCTCGAGTCGGGAGACCCCCACGGGGGCGCCCGCTCTTTATTTTTCCTTCCACACGAAAGTGACTCGGCCCATCCATTAGGGCCTCGGTCGCCATCAATCACGCGCCGCTCTGGGGACGGCCTGCTTAGCGGGAACACACACAACGGGTTGGGGGTCGCAGGTCAGCTTGCGCATTTGTCGCGGTGCAAACAAACACCGGCCCTCTGGAAACCCCCACCGTGTCCGTGGCAAACAGCCGGCAATTATCCCCGCACCCCCCAATTTTTCTACCAATTATTTTTGCAGGTTTTTTTTTTTCCTTCCCTTCTTACAATTATGTCCGATTGTGCTATCGGCGTTCTGTCGTGTGGCCGAAGCAACTCCCGTAAGGCGCTTGCGTCGTCGAGAGCAGCGTAACAACGCCCAATGTTGGGTGCCCATGTTGACGAGGAGATGTTTGGCAGTAACAGCAGCGGATTCTTGAATCGACCCAATCTGCGCATGGGCTTTTCTCCAAGTACTCATCGTTCCCTGCCGCATGAAGACAAATGCTCATTCATTGATGGATTCTTCCAAACATCCCGATGTAGCATCCCGAGACTTAGTGAGACATACCACAGAGCAGCCGGGGAGTAAATAAAGGACATAATAATGGTTTGTTCTTATTCTACAAACAGAAAGCCCCTGAGAAACAGGACATTTTATTCGCTAGAAACTGTTCTAACACGCAGGCTTTTGCAACCAACGTTACGATTACAAATGTATTTTTTTGAGTTAGGTTGCCACGTGTGTTCAATGCCAAGAAGTTTGTTGGACACTTTCCGCTGCCCGACAGCCGCATAAAGTTGTAACGAGAACAAAAGCGACACTTTTTATAGCTTCCGCACACCGCTATGCTCAAGAGCAATCCAAGAGCAATATTTGTTAAACGTGCGGTTTGCTCAACATACCGGTGTGCCAAAGCAATAAAAATACGTATTTGCTCACACGACAACTTCGTTTTCTTGGCTGCGTCGGGTGGAAGAGGGTATATGACACACATTGGCACCGAACTCGCGCGCAAAAAAAAATAATTTGGAAACTTTTAGACAAAGTAGAGTGCTCGCCCTTTCAGCTCACTCCGGGTCTATTGAATCGCCAAACTAAACGATAGCCATGTGTTGAGAGCCCAATTGGGAGTCCCTCCATTGTTACATTTGGCAACAGTTTTGATGCGTTGCTGCCACCGCCGCCGGTACCAACGCTGCTGGTGCCACGGTGGCAAATGCGCACGCTGCATCGGTGCGCGGCGCCATTCAACCACGCACGCACGATGTCACCCATCTTGCTCGCCAGGCTGGCTTCAACAACACTTGGAAACCACCTTCACAAAACCGGGTCAACCGCTCACCAGTCTCCGCTCTCGGGGAAAGCACTTCAATAACTCCCCGTAAACAAACGTTGGTGTGCTTCGATGCACGAAATTAAAACTTTCCACAGAAGCTAAATGATGGCGTCATTCCCAGCAAGCTTCTAAGGACTTTTTTTGTTTGACGGGAGCCGACTGGATACTTATTCCTATGCCCGGGATGTATTGCCGTTATCTTCGTCCGTCTGAAAATCTGTCTTGAGGACCACTGAATGTTTTCACACAAAAGAACTACAAAACCCCCCGAAATCAATCGCTACCAATATTACCAAACACAGCCTGCCAGTACCAGTGCCCAGATTTCCATAGTTTCTGAGTGAAATAGGTTTATGAAATGCTTTCACATTGAACATTTTCTTCAATATGCCGCGTACGAGCACGATTGGCGCGCACGCGTTGGAATGAAAGAATTACTCGCCCCCGAACGTGCGGTTGTGCGTTGTGGTGTGTCCGTAACTTTACAGTCAGGTTTCTGGATCGTGCCACCCCTGTCCCCCCCTCCGCCAGCTTGCGACCGCTCTGCAATACACCGCATACTAGAAACCCGGTTTGCACGCATCTGTTTTCTCAGAATCTCCACGTAAGCCCCGATCGCGAATACTTAACTTGCCAAAAGTAATATGCCGAGCTGCACCGAAAATAAACGTTCTGAACCCAAGAACATTTAAAGAAAATAAAACCCCGACAGTAGCGATGATTGCGTAACAGAATTTATGGCTGTGGTTATGACGAGGGCATGGTAAAACGTCGCTACGAAAGTCACTTATCTGCACGAGCTTTGAATGTCCTCGCCATGAAAAAATCTAATATATTTGTTGCGATTCGCAAACTAAGCCCGACCATGATTTGTCATATTTATTATCACCATCATCAACATCACAATCATCTTCAATCACTACTACCACCACATATTTCGCAGTCATGATCATCAACACTATCACCACCATCTCATAATCAATACAACCACCGACCATCACTACCACCACTGTCTTCATCATCACCACTTTCACCACCACCACAATCATCATCATTATCATCACCATGCCACTAGGTTTGGTAAAGTCTGTGCCAATCGGTCAGGTTGCATAATTTTGCACAGCGAAGTCAGCAGCCGTAGTTGTAGTTTTTGCTACTAATTATGTATTCTTGTTCACGTCATAAGAATGTGGAATTTACATCGCTCGCTCAGGGACCAATCAGGAAGGCTGTCGAATACAAATTTTGTCATCAGGAGACTTTTAATGTTTAATTTCAGTAAGGCAAGAGCAGCTGTTGCTTGTACCTAAACTATTAAAATTTCACCAGGTAAGGCCCAAAGCTATATGGCTATTTTTCAGAAGCAACCAGGCCACATATGACAGCCCAATGAAGTGAATTATCACGTGGAAATTCAAAGCAGCCATATACTCTAAACGCATGTCGATTCTAAATGTGGAGGGAAAAACTGAAGGGCCCGGAGAAAAATCCACGCGACCATGGGGAGACCATGCAAAGCTCCAAATATACAGGCGTTAGGATTGGGATTGAATCCACGACCTCCTGTATACTAGGCGAGGTAGTTAAAATGTCGCAGCCAATGGAAAGAACGCATTTGAGAGGACATCTACCGACTAGACGGAACAGCGACCTCCGCTCGCGTGTTTTTGCCGGGCAGACGCCGCGCGCGGGCGCTTGGCAGGCCTCAGCCGGCGAGTATTTATTATGCAGGCCGCGTCCAAACCCACAAATCTCTCCCCCTTAAAAACATTAGACTAAACATACTCTGGAGCTCTCCGAGTCTCTCGTAGGCCCATGTGGGTTTGTCTTGGACGCACGAGCCGAGTCGAGCCGTATACAGTTTCTTCATGCGCTCTGCAGATGGCAAACGCAATAAAATAAAAACGGAGCAGAGACGAACACTGCCGGTGGTTTAATGATGGCGTGCAATGGCGACTCGGGTCTCTCGTTTCCATTTGTTTGCGTTATCGATAATTAAAAACTACAGAAAAGTTTTTTTTTATGGATATGTGGTTTACCACTCGTAGCGCTCTGCCCAACGATAGAAGTACAAGTCCAGCCCCACGAGTGTACGTCTGTTGGAACGTGCCACGCATTGGCCGACAAGCCCTGCGCCTCTGATGCCCAGCGATTGGCAGCCGCTGACCAATTTCAGTGAAATAGCGCTGTGCGGATTACAGTAACACATTGTCACTGGATTTGACAATCGGTTCCGTGACTTTTGCTATCGATAGTAGATTATTATTATAATAATAGTTGTTGGAAGATGGGGAATAGATTAACAATTCTAGTGGTAACAAGAGGCAGGATGCAGGAAGCTTTGTGTTACACATGTTACTGGAAGCTAGACAGCAGCTTACTGCCGGCTGCTCGAGTTAATATCTTAAAAAACCGTGCATGCTGCGCGACTACTGCGCGAAGGACACACGGCGTGGTCCGACCTCGCTTTGTGTGGCATGTACAAATACTGCGAACAAATCCATTACAACTCCCATGGTGAAAGAAAAAAAATACTACTCCAATATGTAGACATCGATTTAATATACCCGTTGAGTTAACAAAGGCAGACAAGCACACACGTTACTGCTTAACTTGCTGTTTATCCCACAGCTTGCAATAATATTATTATTATTTTTCACTACGTGGTCAATCCGCTGTTGCCTAAAGGCCTCCCCCCCCCCCGGGGTTGCGTCAGTCATGAGGGTTTCTTCACCATGCTTCACCCCACGCTGGTCAGTGTGGGCCGGAGGAGAGGGGCGGATGGCGTGGGGCGTACTGGGACCAGTTCAAATGTCACTCGCCACTTTTGTGGGCCGTGGCCGGGAATCGAACTCGGGCAGCCGGGTTCACAGTGCAATGCACGAACCGCTGTGCCACCAACCATTGTGATGCGCGTAAACAATTGATACAGTTTGCGACTTAAACCAAACTAATCTCACAGCAAACAAGCGCAAAAGCAACATCTATTAAATATTCATATTTGAGATGGCAATGGCAGTAGTCAAGCATATGTGATATTTTTACTTTCTATTTATAAATGCAATTTGATGTGAAACCACTGTAACGCTGCCGATTCAGACGCACCCAAACCCCTCCTATAAATATCGTTAGCGACTCATCACACGTTGAATCCTATTCTTAATTCTAGGCATAATAACAGTTTCATTTTATATTGCGTCACTCATGCCAAAAGCATCCCATAATGCTGTACAGTAATTATATAGGAAGACCAAATGCCATATACAGCCACTACCAAAGCAAAATGAAAACCCATTACACCAAGCGAAATCAAAAATGAATAAACACATCAAGAAATGGCACCCAAAAAAAAGCACACACAATTCGCAATTCACTCAAGCACGCCCCCCCCTTCCAACCCCCCCCCCCCCCAAAACCCACAGTAACCCAGCGACCTCCCCTCGCTCACATAATTCCCCCGTCAATCCGAAATCCGTCAAGAGGCCAGCTGCGCGCTCCTCTCTCACCTGTCATTATCGTTCCTCGCTCACCTGTCATTATCGTTGAGGAGAGCCAGCCGCCCATAGTCCCACGCCACTTTCCTTAGCACCGAGAAGAGGAGGAGCAGCGCCTGTAGGGAAGAGCGGGAGCAGCAGTACCCCGCGGGTCACAGGAATAGCAGCGCCGCACGCCACACTCCACCACACCACACGCCACCGCTGCCGCCGCCGCTGCCACCGCTGCCGCCACGCGCGATTGTCCCACCTGCGCCGGGTAATTACGGCGCTGCGGAGGTCCAGGAAGCGGCCACACTGCTGATCCAGGATACTCGGTGCTCAGGGCGGCCTTTTCACTTTCAGCGAGCGCAGCGGGGGGGGGGGGTGTGAGAATAACAACAGCGGCGCCTGCCCGCTGCGGTGCTGGTGGCGGCGATGAGCGGTAGTTCGGAGGAGGCAGTAGCGACGCACCCCGACCCCGATTCGATTGTCACAATTCACAGTTCCGATTCGATCGAATTCATCTCAAGCTCAGTGCCGCTTCCCACTTTGATTTGTTCTCCTCTGTTGTGTACGTTATTTACAGCAGCGGCTCCCAACCCCTTCGTCCGCGGGACACTGGAGTTTCTTACGAGACGCAAAATATACAAAAAGGACACGAACTCTGCGCATAAGCAAGAACCACCAGCATTTCCTGAAGAAGTGCATTGTGGACCCTCTTAGGACCACTGGTGGCCCGCGAGGCCATGGGAAGTGGTCCGTAGCACCGTAGCAGATGCTACGATTCCCACAAAGCAACTTTCTTTTTTTGACTGGCCATTGCAAAACTTTTTACAATTTATGAGAGCCAATGAAAATAAAGTTAATTGTTTAATTGACTTCGTAACATTGTACAGAGCTTTTAGAGTAGAACATAGGTTGAGGGTTGACAAATGGTTCGCGGGTCCAGAATGGTTAGGAACCACATGGGTCTACATACGCTGTGGTGTTTGAGAATCATATTAGGTCTGTATTGTTTAGGAGAAATCGTATTTTGGTCCGTCTTGTATTAAAGCATTGTTATGCAGTCTGTAATAATTTCTTTACTTTGTAATTATGTCAATTACCCCTTTTGTTCTGGCGAGAGATACGCTGCACGTGAGGTGCAGTATGAATAATAACAAACGATGACACTGTCCACCGTCTCGTTTTTACCGTCATTTTGTCTCATTTGTACAACTGCGTCCACCCCGTTGGCGAACGTGTAACATGAGCCCACCACATGCACATCGGCGTTAACGCACGTCACACGAGCTCTTTATTTGTGCAGACATTTCGGTAAATCGGGATTTCTAACACATTCTCAACCCGCGCGATTCGATGCCTGCGTCGTGGGAGTAGGAATCGGTTTTTCACCGATTCAGTGACGCACTCTTGCACGTCCAAAGCGTTAACCGTCAAATGAACGTATTGGCGGGACACCGATGGCGTGGCATAAATTTTTTTTATATTTTTGCGCAAAAATTGTTTCTTTTCCCACGATTCTTTCGGGGTGGTGCGTCAAAATCAGTTCTCGTGATGTCGAAGCAGTCGGAAGACAAAATGTTATAAGCAGCTGAGCACGAAGCTTTCACAGCCTATTGCTGTATCGCACACAGCCTGATGACGATTGGCTCCGTGTTCCAAAGGCAGATTTGACTCATGCCAAAGACTTGGTCGGACGGCTCCTCGATTCGTTTCAGGAATAATTTATTGGCGGACGGTGGCATCAAAAGGCTATGACTCATGTCATGTTTGAATGGGAAAGCAGCTGCTGAGTCCAAGGCAACTTCTGATGGAGAGTCTGCAGCTCACTCAAGGGCAACGGCGACATCATCAGAATATTTTGAGCACCGGCGTGCTATGCTGCATCGTTCTACCGCCAACACATCCATGTAGAGCAGAGGTCGCAAACAGGTTTTGATTCCTTACCCGTACCCGTACCCAGCCGCACCAGGGTCGCAAATGGGTACCCGTACCCGTAACCGGCCGGGTACGGGTAGCCGTTCCCTACCCGTACCCTACCCGAAATCAGTGACAAACGGCTACTCACCAGTGACTCACGGCCTACCTGTACCCGGCAGCACCAGGGTTGCAAACGGCTAGCCGTACCCAGCCGGGTACGGATAGCCGGATATCGGGTAGGGTACGGGTATCGGGTACCTGGTTGCGACGTCTGATGTAGAGATTCTGGATCTCGGGAGTTAGCGGACCGCGGAGGGATGAGAGGAGGCTTGTTGACCTGTGCCTCCCATCTACTTGCTGTAGGGGGCAGCACGGCAGGGCTGAGCCCGGTTCGTGCTCGGGTTTAGAGCCTGCTTGGCAAAGGGTGGCTTTGTCGGCTTGAGCGGAGGGGGCTCCGGAATAAGCAGTAAAGCGACAGGTGCAGTTTGCGGATTGGATTCAGTCACTCCCTGGACTAAGGCTGCAGATTTCATTCAACTTTGCAAAGTTTTGGATTTGAACAGATCCAGTGAAGCTATTTGTGACTGTAAATTTAAAATGCCTCCTGTGACAAAGACTTCATTCAATTAGAAAATGCAATTGCAATCCTTGCTGCTATAAATGCTATTTTAGATGCCATGCCCCAGTTCCTCTCACGAGAGTCATGCATGTTAATTTTTGGATTGTTTACTGGATTTCCATTGTACATAGTTCTGCTTGGGCTTTTTTGGTTATAAATGTATTAGTTATGCTCAGAAAATGTCCCTGCTTTTACTCGATGCAGCTTCTCTAACCCCCCTCTCTCCCCATGTAATGTGCATGCTGTCGTACAAGCCTTTGTGGCTGGGTTGCCGTTGAAAAAGGGCTTCTTAGCGCAATGGGCCTTACCCAAAATAAACTATCCTTGCAAAGCTATGAGTGTTATCCCCTCGCATGAGCCTAAGGTTTTCTCCGGGTACTTCGGTTTCCTCCCACATGCACGCAACTGCAAAATGACCCTCCTGAGAAAGAGTCCATGAGAATTGGTGAGGAATTCCGCGACAGAATTGGCAATATGGCAGAGGCCAGTCTCTCCATAGGCCCAATAATGATGCTGGGCAAAATGGTGCTTATTTTATTTACCTTGGAAGTGTATGATGGACTGATCTGACTGCCAGAAAGTCAAACCTGGTCCCAGACCATTCTGGCGATGACCGCTCCCCTACAACACACAGCTGCACTGATGCATCGTCACCACCTCCGAGGATCAAAATAATGATGACACATCATGGGAAGAAGACTACGGCATGAGTGGTGTACTTTTTTTCTTTCGATTTAAAGCTTTCGTGACTGCAGGGATTCATATTCTTTTTCATTTCATTTTATTATGTTTTATTTTTATTATTCCCTTCTACGCGACTTTACCGAAAGAACCAAGAATACGGGTGGTGTACTGTTACGCAACTTGGCAACAAAGTAGAACTTTTAAATTTCCCAGGATGTCCACCTCAAGGAGAGAACTATCCTGAGGGAACCAGGACAGGTGGCAATATTATTGAGGACAGAGTGCGGCAGAGTGAGCGAGTGCGAGATCGAGACCGACAGCGGCGGGGGGTGAACCGAGCGAAGCCGCACACGTTCGTAGCGTTCGTCACGTCTCCCAGCTGCTTGCAGCCACGGGTACGTTAAACCGGGTGGGCGCTCGTTATAGAGGGAGCGGGGCAGGGTCAGCGGGTGGAGTGGTGGTGGTGGGGGCCCCCTCATTTAATTAAGCTCACCGTGATTGCACCCCCCAAGAAGGGGACCGGCCTGTCAGCCGCCAGTTTGACTCGGGGCAATTAGGCGCAGACCGCCGAGGAGATACGGTACCGCCAAGGCAGCTCAAAGTGGTCCTCAGACCGCAGACAATCAAACGCGCTAAGCGCAACACGCCGCGGATTTGAAATCAGCGAGCAGCAAATCCCTCGCACGAAAGCCACACCACTCGTTTCGGGGATCGCGGTGAAACCGGTGCCGGGGCAGGTTTGTGTTTTTGTTACCGCTTTTCAAAAGCAATTCGGGTGAAATTTAAACTATCGGCGGAGCCAACGGATTATACGGCAATTTTTTTTAAACATATGTTTTTCATTAAAAATCTTCAACAAAATTTTACAAAAATCACTGTCGAAATGTATGGCACCAGCAATAAGATGTTTTGCTTTATTTTGTCCGTTTGAGTTTACCCATTTGAAATGTATACGAGCGTGGGGTTATTTTTTTCACGTTGTTGGAAACAATTACAATTGAAATTGGGAAATACACGCTGTACAATGTAGGTTTTAACGCATAGTAGAAAATAATATCTATCGTCATGTTATAATAATAATAACATGGAATAGAATTCACGTCCCTTTGCCAATCTATTGCTGGACGAGGGCCTTCATGACAGCTATGGGGGGGCGGTTGTTTTGACCATACTTCACCACGCTGGCCGGTGTGAATTGATAAAGGCAGGAGGGGCCCAGGACGGGTTCAGAGATCACCGGTGTTAGCCATGGCTGGGAATCAAGCACCGACTCACCATATGAAATTAAGAAGGATGGGAATACAGCTAATTATATGTCCCCCTTTATATATAATCAGGCAATAGCCCATTGGGACCAGAAGTTTCTGGGGAGGGAGCGAGGAGCGGTTCAGGTATCACTCGCCACTGACGGTAGCCATGACCCGGAACTGAACTCGGGTCGTCGGGTTCATCGCGCAGCGGCACTAGCCACCCACTGGACCACCTGCGTCTCCCCATTTTAATTTCGCAAGCACTTAAAAACAAAAACCTCGTGTTTTTGCGAACGTGACCAGACAAAGACATTTGATTTAGTCGGTGCACATCAAGTGTGTTTTTCTAAACGAAGCAATAATGTCGGTCGGTTTTTTTCCCTTTCGTTCTTTCTTTCCCAGTGGTTTAATGCAAAGTTAAGGGAAATTAATCTAGGCCTTCCAAACACTCTTGACAGCACATGTGGATTGTATTATACGGCCAGCTACATCGTGGCCATAATTCTCGGTTGCTCGTGTTTGTGTGCGCGCCCTTTGCTAAACTCTCTCGACCAAAGAGATCATGAAAACTTCCAGGATTCAGGGCCAAACGTGTGACATTTTCAGAGCAGGGTGGAGCGAATGACTCTGACCCAGATCGGTCGTCGATATGTCACAAAAAAAAACTACATTTTGTCCAGCGCGTGCGAAAATTCAAAGCATTGCTCCACAGCTCACATGAACAAAGGGGGTGACACTCATCTCTGTCAACGGCACAGCCATCTCCGCGTGATACTGACTCTGACCCATCCGTCACCGCAGTAGTCAGTGTGGCTAATGGAAGACGGCAAGCAGGGACACGGCAACACAGTACAGTCCTAGTTATCGGACAACATTCTGCCGTTTTGGTGAACTCGACTTGTATTTACGGGTTAATATGTTTACAACGCTTCCACCAACTCACACCAACCATTGCGCTGCTGCTACCCGTTGCCGCTACCCCACGTCCAACCGATCATGTGCAGCGTCTAGAGGTGCGGTTGCAGAAGGCTGCGATATAAACCCAAACAACATGCAATCTTTTTACAGTGGGGAGGAATTTCCAAAATGCATGTAAATAATCGCGTGCTGCACCACAGCGATAATTTGTATGCAGAACTCCTTTCATACCGTGCGTGGCCAACCATGGAAATTGCTCATTTAAATCATCTGTGACAATCTCGTCGTAATGTGCATGGAAAAGTGTACTTATGACTTCATGAATTTCGACTCGCTCTATCGCACCCCTTTGCCGCCACTGCCGCCGACCCTTAATTTTCCGAAGAAACAAGGACTAAAAATCACGCACACGCACGGGAATTCCCGCAACGCACCGCTCGCCGCTTACTACTCGCCGTGCTCCAACCGGTCCCACCCCCGGTCGCACCGCCGCCACCGGCCGCTCTTACCATCCACACGACAAAGTCGATGGCGAGGACGATGACGACGCCGCCAAACGGCGTCCCCTGCAGCACCGAGTTGCGGCCGCGCGCGCTGAAGCACTCCGACGTGCTGTTCGGCGCCGCCGCTGTCGTCGTCCCGGACCAGAACTGCGATGGCGTCGGGTCGAAGAGCGCCGCCGCGCTCGGCAATAGTGGCGCCAAGACGTCCTCCATGACCCCGGGGCTCGTGAGAAGAGGGGGGGGGTGTCGGCGGCCCTAGCAGCAAGGCCCGAGGCGGCGGGAGGAAGAGCGGACGGCGGAGTGGCAGGGGCGGCAACGGCGGAGGAGGAGGTGGCAGCGGTGGCGGCGAGGCAGTCGTGCCGAGATCACCATCCTCCCTCCCGCGGAACCTGTGCCGCGTGGCGTGCGGGTAAATAAGCACGACGGGGAATTATCCACGTGCGCAGCCACGTGGTAAATCAGTCGGGGTGTTAAAGTCAAGTGCAGCAAAAGCCATTGTTGTGCTGTACTATGCACCAACAACTATGCCTCCCACCTTCATCGAGCCACGATGACCGGTGTGAAGTATTGTTAAATGGACCACGTGATGGGGGGGAAGCCCTCATCCAGCAGTGGATTGACAAAAGGGCCGCGAAGGTAAGTGTTAGGGTCAAGAGATCGTTATGGCAAATGATGTTGCAGCGTTGTGTCATCGTTTTATTCCTTCCTTTGCCCAGTTGCAAAGTCAAAAACTGATCTTCAAGGTCGACTTTTCGATTGTCACAATTACCACTACCTCACCTCGATGCAAGGTTGAGATGTCCTTCTGGGCCCATTCTTAGAGTCTAATCATCACCACCATCTGGTTTAAAGTCTTCCGCTTGGTCGCTACCCTCTGAGTGCGGCTCCAATGCAGGGTCTCGGTGAACAACCGTCCTGCGCAGGTGACCCACACACCTTAACTCCCCCTTTACAGGCTACACCCAGCTACAGCTAACATCAGTGGCAATGACATACCTGAACTGGCACCACGCCCGCCCTACTTTCACCTGCCCACACTGACCAACTAAACTTAAAACGATTATTTTTATTTTACCAGGTAAGGCGCACTAAGCTATATCGCTCTTTTTAAGAAGCGACCTGGCCATACATGACAGCTGAAGGATGTGTCTTATCGTATGGAAACTTATAACAGCCAAATACTCTAAAGGCACGTTTCTAAATGTGGAGGGAAAAACCGGAGGACCCGGAGAAAAATCCACGCGACCACAAGGACAGAGATCCATACTCCAAATGTACAGGTTTCAGGGTCAGGATCGAACCCACAACCTCCTGTATACCAGGTGAGGCAGTTAACATCTCGCCACCGTGGCAACTAATACGATGGGGTACGGTCCAAACCACCCTCACGACTGACCGACAGACACAACGTGGTGATGCCCTCAATCAGCAGCGGATTGAAAAAAGGGCTATTGGTTATGACCTTGTATTGCAGCTGATCGTCGTACCTCGAGATGTGAACCCGCGGCTGTTGTTGAACAGCTGACCGCCTCCAACTCACGTGTCCCCCCCCCCCACCCAGGAACACAATCGCACAAAAACGCACGACGCGACACAACGCATCGAGATCGCACGATTTCCCTTCATGCTAAATGCGTGGGGGTGGGGGGAGGGATTAAACAAAAGAAAAGGCATAGATATTTTTTTTAACCCGCCGATCGAGATGGAACAAAACCGTTTCATTTCTCTCCACTGCTTTCAAAATGTAACCTTGCGACGCGGTGCTTCCTACGATGATGATGAACGAGTCGAGACGTGGAAATCCCATTTCAACGCAGCGGCAAGGCTAAAGATGGACAATACCGACGGCAAGGTCATTCGAGGTCGGCGATGATGTTCCTTCCTCACGCAATCCCATTTTGGAGTTTACATAAAAAATTTGTTTAGATTTTTTTTATTACAACCCATTTCACCTCAATCAACGCTGAAACCAGCGTGTGCACTGTGATTATAAGTCAGCTGGCAATGAGTAATAATGAGAGTTTAATAATTTACAGACGTTAATCAATGTATTCCTGGATTAAGGCCTTCCCCAGGCCATACTGATCAGAGGGGTTTTGTTTTATCATACTTCACAAATGAATTAATAACATGTACAAACAGATGTCCATTTTGTGTCTCCGGACACATGAATAAAATATTTTTAATCGATCGGCCAATTGGCTTTCCGGACCAATATTTAGCGGGCAGCTTCTGCTTAAGCAAGCAAACTATGCAATGCGGTTTCAGCCGTCAGCAGAGTGAGGCTTGTTAAACACATGCTGCTTGCATCGGGTTGCCAGAAAATGTTATTGGAAAGAGAACTCCCATCTAAATTATGGGGCCCTGCTTTGTACAAAAAGCAATATGGCTGGTCAGTGTGGGTGGTAAAATATGGGGGGGCGCGGTGGGGAGGGAGGGTGCTTCGGCCCCGGTTTCAGGTATCACTCGCCACTGACGTTAGCCATGGCCTGGAATCAAACTCAAGCGGCGAGCTTCAAAGCATCACCGCTGCGCCACCGTTCCTCACCCACCGCCCCCCGTGAAGCACTATGGGTAGCAGTCATTTACTACGCATAGTAAATTGAAGAGCGAACACACGAGGTTCTATTTCACCGCCGTCAAGTGCACCGGGTTAACATTTAAGTGAGTTTGATGGGTTTGCGGCAACAGCCATGAGGACTGCACGTCCTGATATTTTGCAGAACTTTTGAAAAAAATTCCTTTTTCGTTTGAGACGAGCGCACACGCGAGATCCGAGGGCCGCGTGACGTCACGCGCCAATCTTGGCACACACACCGAGGCGCGGCACAATGCTGGCTTCAGACATCAGAACCACGCACATGCCCTGCTCGTTCAAGGCATGAGGGGGCTCTTTAGCGTTTCATTTCGCGATCGTGCCGCTCGTTCGTGTAATGCCCCGTCGTGTTCATTAAAAAGTCCTTACGTAAGTTACAGTGACGATCGGAACTTGAACCAATCGAAATTCATTTTGTATAAAGAAATTCAATAATCAATCTCTCCTTCACATATCCATCTCTTAACATAATTTTTTTGTTATCAAATGTATTTCTTACACATCCCATCGGCCGTACGGCCTTCTCGGAGTGTATAGTTTTCAGCAGCATTGATTCGAGCAAAGCAGATTCTGGGCCGGTTTTGACAAGCTGTGTCTCATCAGCAGACTCGAGCTTTGCTTAAATCAATTGCTGATAAACTGTTTACTGGGCATCTGTGAAAAATAGCTTTATATTTCATCGGTTTCCTTCTGCTGTATAAATAAATATTCTAATTATAATTGACGGCAAGGACTCTTTATTTACGATATGCTCCTAGTTTAACGCAAACATTATAATTATGAAGCAAATACAAAACTGTATAGAATATACAATATTACTATACTGTTTGGTTCTTTCGGTAAAGTCACGTAGGTATAAAATAAAATAAATAAAATCACGACGTTTCGGGCGCAACACAAGCGTCCGTCATTAGCAATTGTTTCTTGCTGTGGTTGTCCCACCTGATGACGGTCACTTGTGTTGTGCCCGAAACGTCGTGATTTAATTTATTTTATTTTATACCCACGCGACTTTACCGAAAGAACCAAAGAGTATGGATCCCTGCAGTCACGAAAACTTCAAATCTAAATTGGATCACCTCCAATAGCTTTACAGTGTTAAATAAATGGTAATTGGACGCATTAAAAATAATAAAAATAATCAGTAAACATAAAATACTTAAGAACCAGAAATGCTAAAGAAAAGATTAACATTTACAAATGTTGGTTCAATGCACACACTTTAATTTGCACTCAAAAGTAGAAAATAAATTATTTTGACCCCAGAATTAATCAAATTTGACGTGCTGAATAAAAGTGGGTGGCTTACATAAATACAATTAAACACGTCGAAAGATAACAAACGGACAACTGGGCAAGTTAAATAAAAGTATACAAATACTCAAAAGCAGTAATCATCTTCGTTGGCCATGGTCAATCCACTGCTGGATGAGGGTCTCCCCAAGCCCTTTATTTATCCAGTAACGCTGCACTGAGACTCAAGGCTGTTTTTTTTTTCTACAAGGGTCCAGCTACATTGGGATGTTAGGTCAACTCTGTTTGATCGAGTTAGGATCCATGAGGGAGGAAAACCCACCAGACACACGAGGGGATGACGCTCAAAGTTGCACACAGGTAAATTCATTAATCAATGAAGGATACAATACTGGCTCCCCAAGAATCTATGGTGGTCTCCTGGTCACCTTGCAACCAACCTATGCTCAAGGGTTTTAGAATGGCAATCAACACAGTCTTAACATCTTCTTGGTTCTTTCGGTAAAGTCACGGCTGCTTGCGTTGTGGCCGAAACGTCGTGAAAATTATTTAATTATTATTATTTTTGCTTCCATTCTACGTGACTTTACCGAAAGAACCAAGAAGATGAATCCCTGCAGTCACGAAAGCTTTAAATCAAAACAGTCTTAACATTTCACCAGACTGGCTTTCTTCAGTAAGCAATTATGTTTACTGAGATAAAGCCTTAAGTGTCGTCGATTATATCTGATATCACCCACGATAAGCACTAACCAAGACCCGACGTGGACAATTTTCCCTTCGGCTTGGCATTTCAAGGCGAAGGGGGTTAGACACAACTTCTTAACGTAACTTGCCACAAGTTTCACAACGGCGCCACCGGGGGAACACACTTACAGTTACGCGTACACCGCCCCCAAAAGCTACCGAATTGTGTCTTGGGGGGCAGGGGAGAAGGGAGCGAGGGTGGGGGGCTAAACCAGAACACACCTGGCAAACGTCATGCCCCTTCCAGTAAAACAACAACAAAAAAGCCGATAGTTGTTTTTTTTACCCTTTTATCTGGCAACAAAACTGACACCTTTTGGCATCATCTGGTCCAACACCATGTGAGACTAGGCTCTAAGGAAAGCTGTCTCGGGTGTGGACCAATCAACTTCAAGGACAGTGCATACATTATCAGAGTTATGTTTTTTGTTTGCATTATGACAGCAGGTATTGTGGTCTATGCAAACATGACTCCTTGTAAAAAAGGTGTCAGTTTTGTTGCCAGATAAAAGGGTAAAAAACCAACTATCATATTTTTCTACTGGCAAATGAGGTTCCAATGGAACAAAAAAGCCCCCCACCTGTACCGTGAGAGGACCCCCCCCCCCACCACACACGTGGTGGCACGGCTCGGATACGCCAGTGGAAAAAAACGGGGGGGGGGGGGGCGGTGTACAACATTCACAGCGACGCCCTCGGCAAGGGGGTTTTGTTGTGCGCCGACAGGTGCCCCCCCCCCGACCCCACTAAACTCCGAGAGGCGGATAAACAACGCGGCCGCTTGTTGGTGTA